GTATGGTTGATCACGCAGAGAGGAAAAAGATCTTTGGTGAAGACGACGTCCTATAGTTTTTTTGAACATGCGTGACTGTATCTTATAGATAACATGGATAAGCTGCAAATGAAATATTCGCTTTCCAAAACTCAAGGCATCAGACATGAATTTGATGCCCGGGTAGTTACACATCCTCTCACAACTTCTACACATACCCCCAACTGCTAATTCTACTTTAGCTACCCTCAGAGTTGATCAACTTAAATTTGATATGATAACTCTATATATGGAAGATATGCCACAGTCTCCTACTCTGGTGAAGAAAGTTCGGGATGAGGATCAACATTCTTTTTTGGAGGAGGATTTCCCTAAAAAGGCATGTTTGTTCATGATGCTTCTTCTGTGTCGGTCACTCCCTCTCTCAGACTCCTCTCTATTATTCCTTCTCGAATTCCTTACTCTCTCGAGGAATCTGCTGCTGTGTCTAAAAAGGATATTTCCTTTTTACAAATCTTTATGAGGCAGATAAAATGGAGATCCTTTTTTAGGTTACTTTCCACACATACCAAGTTACTTCTCTGTTCTCTCTAGCTATTGGTGGAAAAGGTGATCTCTTAGATAAAGGTAATCCTTTCGAGAAGAGGATACCTGTAAGGGAAAATGGAGAGACGTGGAGAAAAAGTACACTGCTTTACAGAAGGAGCTAGCTTACCTTTAGGAGAAGAATAAATTTGCTAAGGTTATGCAATAGGAGGCAAAGCTCAACGATTCTCCCTCCACCTTAGTTTCTCGAATCCTTGAGTTGGAATCCTCCCTCAAGGCAGAGAAAAAGCATAACTAGGAGTCATTTGATGCATTTATTAAGGTGGAACATCGCAGTCAGGAAGTTTGGAAAACTTTTCAGACAGAAAAAGAGTCCCATGCTAAGGATCAGAAGGCTCGTGAGGATGATGTGGCTGCTATGAAGGAGAAAGTTCAGGAGTCTTGTAAGAGGATTATGCATAATGTGTATGAAGCTCTCGAACAGACAATGTATTAAGCCAAAGAGTTCTTCCTAGGCATTCATATCCTCGTTGAAGGGCGGGATCATTTCAAAGATGATCCAACAAGGTCCTCGTAGGATGACCAGGGTACAACGTCTCAAAGCACGAAAGCTTGATTGTTCATTCCTTTGGATTTCTTTTCTTTTCTCTATAACATTCGCCAGGCTTTCATGCATAGTCAAAGATAAAAATATATTAATATATCTATTTACCTTAACGTTTGTGCCTTTATTTAACTTTGTGCACATGTTATTGATTTATTTATCCTTAGTAATTTTGTTATCCTCATCGTCGGTTTCTAGTTTCCTCGACTAATATTTAACTAGGGAGTTATTTTCGCACCAAGACTTACTTTTTGTTCCTGCAGTTTAAAATTTGTTTTCCTCATGAGTGTTATTGGCATCAGTTTTCCATATCGACCGACCTTAAGTCCGTGTCTTCCGGCTGCGAACTATTGTCTGCTTTAGGTGTGAGAGCTGTAACAACTTTGTCCTTCAGGAAAGACACATCATTAGGTTAAGGTATTTTAAGTGTTCTTTGAAATCTGCAGTCTCAACGTATGTTTTGTTATTACTAGATCCGATAGTAAAAAGTTATTGTGATTCAATACCATCACTAGGAACCATCCACAGCCAAAGGAAAAAATCTTGTCCCTGCCCCTATAAGTTGACCTGATTCAAGGTGGACGTCTCCGGGCTCCACCGTCTACGCTTTTGGAGTGTCTAGTTCCTAAGAGGGGTTGTGCCAGCTACGTTGAGAAAAGTGCTCTAGTGTGGACTAGGCCTTAAAAAGTGGCTTACGTCATTCTTAATGGAATTGCAAGACCCTTTTGTGGTTGTAGTGTCTCATAGTTAGCAGATGAATTATTGAAATGATTCAAACAACTTTATGGAGTACTTAACTCGTAGAGGGAGTCATATGGTTTTGATTCTCTCCTTCTTCTTCCATTATCCTTCAGCTGACCATAAAGTTGGTTGAAACAATCTTCCTTTTGACTACCAGTTTGAAGCGCTCGTATGCCACGGATTTTGTCCGCCTATCATAAACGGAAAGGCGATATAGAACAGTCAGTGTCTTTGTTGACATTATTCACTAACAACCATTTATGCCCAACTATCTCTGAGAGGTACTTGGGGTTGCACCATCTAAATAATTGGACGAGCATTATCTTTGCTTCCCTTTATTTTGAGGTAGACGTTTCTCTCCATAACCCTCTAAAGCTTTATTGGAAGCGTGCTCACAAGAGACGTAGGAGTTTTCTCCCTGAGAACTGACTAGATTTTACTAACTCTTAGGGAACTAATGAATGGAGATAAGGTTTCTCGAGGGCTTCTTGAATCTTTTCTCAATCCGTGCTGACCAAGCCTAGTTTCCTTCTTTGCAATATTGTCTCCCTACGGATTGGTGAGTCGGGCATTAAGTTAGATAAGAATGCCGACCAGAGGCATCTTAGATATTTTTTTCGCTTCAATGATAGAGAGAGTCCAGGATTCTCCTCTCTCAAATATCTCCTCTACCGAGGGTATCATGTGTGCTATTCTACTAGAGTGAGCAATCAAGTTACTAAAGGTTGAAGGATCTCTTATATCGTGTGTATCCCGGCTTCGCTCGATGGAGATCTGGTAGTTCGATAGTACTGGATCAAAAATTATCACCACTAATCCATTGCCTATGAGGTATCTCGTAAGCGCTTTTCATATATGGTGGAAACTACTACAAACACTTGTAGGTATGCATTCAGGGTTATTAGGATTCCCTCGTTCTTCGAACGTCGTATATTCTGATCTTTGTTTCTTGACTGAATATCAAATTACTAGATGGAAGAGGTGTTCTAAATGGAGATTTCCATTGGTTCTGAAGATGATGTGGATCAATGAGGCGATACTAAAATGTGGTAGAGTAATATCAAAATACTTATCACTTTGCGGTGCAACAAAGTATCGTAAGATTCACGACGGTAGCTAGTTCAATCGGTTGTAATTCTACGTTCAAGATTACGTTTATCTTGTTGCGATCTAGGAACTATGGTACAATTTGACCTCTGCTTACCGTTTGGATCCTCTTCGTTACACGAAAGAGGTATTTTTGTTGTTGAACTATGTCGAAAGTTGTTATTGCATGGATCACGTTGATGACAAATAAATAAGGCGAGGCATGATTGTAAGGTTGATTAGGACCCATCTGCACGATTTTAGAGGTAACTACCTCCATTCTATGATGTCTATGAAATGGATTTGAGTTTAGCTCTATAATGATCCATTGGTGGAATTTTCGAGGAAATTAGGTGTCATTTCCCACAGACGGCGTCACTGTTCCGTTATGAAACCATAAATTAGGTGTAAATCTACGATGAGGAATCCTGAACTGGTGGTGAAGTCGACGATGAAGAATCTTAAACTGGTGGTGCTGATCTCCAATACGACGCGCAAGGTTAAACGTGCAAGATTAGTACTCACTTAAATTAATTCAAAATTCAAGATGACTAAGATAAAAAGTGGAAATTAAAAAATGTATCCGTATTTTATGTAAAATGACTTTATATCTTGGATTATTTAAAATCTTTAATTATTTAAAATGAATTTTCATTAATTTGAACATTGACTCTTTGAGTCTATCTACCACTCATATACAATATTAACACTTTTATTTAATGGTGTTTGCCTTTTCTTATTCTATCTTTTATTTAATTGGCCGGTCACTTAATGTTATTAAAAAACAAGTTATTTAATAAAGTTAATCTACTCTTATTCTATGTTTGATTTTAATTTACTACCGTTAGTCAGATTACCAGAACTGTTTTGATATTGGTGGCTATAAAAGGAAGTGTTTACATAATTGCAAAACTATCACTATTCTAATGACCTAAACCGTTTTTTATAACTCTCCAATACCGTTTTTTTATAACTTACTCATTAATATTGGGGGTTTAAAATGGAGTTATTTTATGTGTATTCATGTATATGTCTGTTATCTAGGAATTGTTTGGTATGAACTTTGGAGCAAGTTTTTGGAGTTTCTTTCCTTTTCAGAAACCAAAGAATGCGTGTAAGAAATTTTTATATTTTTTGAGTTTAATTATTTCTAAATTATCGTTCAATTTATGGCATGTGGTTGTTGTGTTAAGATTATTAATTATTTTATATGAAAATTAAAAAATATCGCATGGATATTAATGAAATTTTAAAAATATATTTTTAACTGCGCAATGGGCTTGTCTTAGTTTAATTACAATTATTTCAAAAGAGTAAAGTGTGTAATTATTTTGAAATTTTAATAATTTTATTGATTTTTTTATAATTTCAATTTGAAGGAAAACCATGAATATAGATATAATTTCTTTAATAAAATATATACCGATTATTAGTTAACTAAAGCTTTAAAATTTAATATGTTAATTCCAAATTTTCTAAATTCCCAATATATAGATGAATCAAAACTTACAAAATAACAAATGTTAGAGAATTTAGCAAGATTTGGAATTTAACAAATGGCACACCCTTTATATATATAAAATCTATTTTTACTCTTTAAAAACAATGTCACAACCTTTCAATGGTTGAGAAACAAGAAACCCTATATAGCAAAGCCTCAAAATGGCATCAATTGCATAAAACCAGTGTTTATTTTCCTCAAATCTTCTCCATCATCCATAACCAAGTTTCCCCTAAGCAAAATATCCTCAAGGAACCTTTACCTCCAAGAAAAAACAAGATTCTCAACATGAACCGATGAGAAAGAGGTGCAAAAAAACATCACCAAAACCAAACATCACTTTCTCTTTATTCCGTTGTTTTTCCTTATCTTGAACAAAAAAAAACATATTATGTTTTTGAAGTTATGTTCATTCATCTCAAAACATTTCTTATTTTAATGTAATATTTTAAAGAAAATTTTCAACATTATTATTGCGAAAAACAAGTAACCTAATCGTTAGCCTGTTGTTGTTGCTCCCGACTTCCTCAGACTCCGAGATAAATGTTGCATAACATGGACAACACTCCTTCATCACCTGGCAAGTCCAAGATGGAGAAAAGGACTAGATGGCAAACTTCCTTACAAAAGCTCACATTTTGGTCCGTTCTATCTATGGCTCTTATCTATTTCCTTTTCTTCCGAGCCCCGTCGTCATTCTCTTCCGACACATCGCGTAGATCCTTACGAACCTACAGCTACGGAGGCGCGGCATGGGAAAAGAATATTCGTTCATCAGCGAGAACCTCTTCCAAAAACGGAGTCTCCGTGCTTGTAACCGGGGCTGGAGGTTTCGTCGGAAGCCATGTCTCGATTGCACTCAAACGCCGAGGCGACGGTGTTGTTGGTCTTGATAATTTTAATGACTACTATGATCCATCGTTGAAACGAGGCCGCCAAGCGCTTTTGGCGAAAACAGGCGTGTTCATCGTCGAAGGCGATATCAATGACGCCGCACTTTTGAAGAAACTTTTCGAGGTTGTTCCGTTTACTCATGTCATGCACTTAGCTGCACAAGCTGGTGTGAGATACGCTATGCAAAATCCAGGATCATATGTTCATAGTAACATTGCTGGTTTTGTTAATTTACTCGAAGTTTGTAAATCGGTTGTACCACAACCCGCTATAGTTTGGGCCTCTTCAAGTTCAGTTTATGGTTTAAACACAAAAGTACCGTTCTCAGAAAAAGATAAGACGGATCAACCTGCTAGTTTATACGCTGCTACGAAGAAAGCGGGCGAAGAAATCGCGCATACTTATAATCATATCTATGGACTTTCACTAACAGGTTTAAGATTTTTCACAGTTTATGGACCTTGGGGAAGACCTGATATGGCATACTTTTTTTTCACAAAGGATATATTAAAAGGGAACTCAATACCGATTTTCGAAGGGGCGAACCACGGAACCGTTGCAAGGGATTTTACTTATATCGACGACATTGTGAGGGGATGCTTAGGTGCATTGGATACTGCTGAGAAGAGTACTGGTAGTGGCGGGAAGAAGACCGCACCGGCGCAGTTGAGGGTTTTTAACTTAGGAAATACCTCGCCCGTTCCAGTTACCGATCTTGTCAGCATTCTGGAGAGGCTGTTGAAGGTTAAGGCCAAAAGGAATGTGATGAGAATGCCGCGAAATGGTGATGTTCAGTTTACGCATGCGAATATAAGCTACGCGAAGAAAGTGTTCGGCTATAAACCGACGACCGATTTAGAAACCGGTTTGAAGAACTTTGTTAAGTGGTATCTAAATTATTATTCTGCTGAGAAGAAAGCTGATCAGTGATGATGGATTGTTTGTTTACACATCGTTGTAGTTTGTTTGAGTTTTTGTTTATTATGTTCTATGATTTTTGTGTTTGTATTGTCCCTTAAAATATATACTAGTTGCATGGTTACCATATTTCATGTGTCAAACTTAAAGGGACAAGAAGAATCGTAGTTTTCTGGTTTGTTCTTTTTGTGTATGAATGTAACTCTTGTAATTTTAGAAATGTATAGTATTTATGACTGATAGAACACGTGGTGATTCTTGGCAGTGTGTAATTGTAAAAAGAAAACAATAAATTTATGCACAATAGTTTCATTCTCTTTTTGTAACTTTTTTTATGGAATTTTTCATTCCTTAATTCTAACTGAATGAATTATTGTCATTTTACATTTGGAGTTTTCATTGGTAGCTCCATGGTTATGTAGTGCTACTTCTTTATTATATCTTCTTGATAGCTATATGCTCTGTATATCACCTGAATTTTCTGTTAGCTGACAAAAATTAATCTCTACCACTGCCAAGGAAGTTCTACAAGGTTGATACTGTGACATCCTAAAATCCTACATAAAAATTATCGCATATAATATAATAGAAGTACAGTAATACAGAGTATCACTCACAACAAAGACATAATTTATTCTATAACACGGATTACAACATAGTTTAATACATACATTTTGTATCAGAGATGCTTACACGATATCTAACTCATCTGATTTGTATTTAGGATGTTTATATGACATTAAACTCATTTAATACTTAAAATGTCATCGCAGCTGTATCATTATTAAAGCAATTAACAACAAAATTGCAACTCACAACATCTAGTCTCATAAACGTGAACTTCATAACATAAGCAAAAAGGAGTTCATAACATTCAATTCAAAACAACTTAGGAATTTCAACAATATAAGTAGTCTCGAATTCAAACATAAAAGGCATAAGAAATAATACAAGCGTTAAATCCAAACCCGATGTTACATGATCTGAGCTAGACATCACTAGTCAAAGCGATAAACTAAAGAAGTAACTCCAACAGCTATCTTCTACTTACTTCAGCAATGCTACTCCTGAGTATTTGCATGATACCCATCTAAAGGTAACATTCAATTGGAAGGAGTGAGAAACACATTCAAATAATTAACGGCGCATAAACAATGAGAGTAAATTAAATACAATACAGTTCAAACATAATTCACTATACACCACGACACATGTATTAAAGTTTCACCCACTTCACCACAATACACAATCAATATGCAATGTGACTCTCAAAAACATTATAGACTCATATGCATGCAATACTGATCTCAATAATGGTTGACACGCTGCAAGTGCACGACTACTGTCAGTGTAGTAAAAAGAATGTTGAACCACAAGGAACAATGGTTAACTACCGGTTTCTATTTTATTGGTGTAAATCTAGGAGAATAGAAAGGTTGAAAACAGACAAACATAAGTGAAAAAGTACTTAAGCTAAAACAGCTTATTTGAATAAGCACTTTTGAAAACAACTTAAATGAGTAAAAGTTGTAAAAGTAATCAAAACAAATTGGATTTTGAGTCATAAACTCTTACTCTAACATCTCTATATGATAAAATTGGTCATGCTACAAGGATTTTCACGTGAATTATAGAAAAATAGATTTTGTAGATAACACCTGATTTCGCCAACGTGTTATCTTGGTTTCGATAAATAATTCGTCAGCTTTCGCTTATTCGAAGTTATTTATTGAAACCTTATTGTTATTGTGCAGTCTATTACAATGAAAGATTTCTCAACCTCTTCCGAGTACTTTCGTAACATCGGAATCGGTTGTTTAAAAATCTGTTTTTGGATATTGATACTAGTCCTTTCGGAACACTATCAATACTTAAGAACTTTTTACTTTCGTAAAAAAATTAGGTGAAACCTTAGACTTTCAAAATAAAAATAGTTCAATCCTTGTATCATATAAGAGCATTCACATCCATTATACTCTTTTGGATTCTTTAAATAGGTCCCACTTAATTTTTTTCATTATTTTACACTTTTAAAATTTTTAAACAACTCAATTATATTTTTCATTATTCACACAACCATCAAAAACACTAACATAAGTCCCACCAAACCCCACAACATTCTCCACATTTTACTCTAAAATAGTTAAATTATGCTCTTTAATATGACAACGCTTGCAAATTGAAGAACGATGTTATTATGCAATTATCCATCCTTTTCTGACACAATCACTTTGGTAATAGTGTATGAATCATACATTTGGACCGATAATTATGCTCTAAAGATTATCATACAGAGAGTCATGAGTTAGGTCTAATGACCCTTAATCTTTAAAGGACTACTCATTCATGGTGAGAAAAGACATAGACAAAGTAATCATATAATTCATAAACATAATGATAACAAAAATTAAAGGAATAGAAAAACAATTGGAATAACCTGAGTGAAAGTACTTGCAATAGATAAAAGAAAACTCAAGTGCTCAAAGGAGACTTTTACAAAGGAATTATGCGTAGAATAAAACTTATCCAAAAGAAAGCGTAAAAACAATTCCCTCTTAAAATTCTTTTCTAAAATAGTTTTATATCATTCATAAAAACATCCCATTAAAATTATTCAATGCCTTGTTACATAAAAATATGTTAAAACTTCAATGTGCCAGAGATCCCATCCAAAGCAAATTACACAGAGAAAAGAAACAAAAGAATAATTTTCCGCACTCCTGTTACGAGTCGTAACATGCGTTACGAGCACCCGTAACAGGCCTCGAGTTTTTGGCCCAGATGCTAAAAAGGAGAAGGCTTCGGCTGCAAGTTGCTACGGTCTATAACATGCGTTACGGTCGCCCATGACAGACCCCTGATCTTTGTACTATCATATGAACCTGAAAATGACAGAACTGTAATGCCAAAACATAAAATGCATAAAAAGAAAGGAAAGGTATGTGAAACATAATGAAATGATACAAAACCATGTTAATAAAAGTGATACAAAACACACTTATCAAACTATCTCAAACTTAGACTGTTGCTTGTCCTCAAGCAACAAAGCTCGCCTAACACATTTTTAAACCAAGCAATGCATTTCAAATGAGAAACTTATGAGGTTAGATTGTGTCGATACTCATACGGGAATTCTTATTTTGATCGGCTAGTCTTAGTTCTGAAATTCTGGTATGCAGATTTCAGATGTCCCTAGTGATGTTAAGACAATGATCTCTGCGAAAATAGAACAAGGACAGAACATGACTATTTTAATTCACTTTAAAAATTAACAGTGTCATGACATCTGTTGTAACATCTGCAGACTGACAAAACTGTTTATCTAACCATTTAAATTGTGCAGAACTGTAAATGCAGTAACAGACAACCGATGTTACAGTGGATGTTATGACATCCACTTCTGGACAGACTATTAAACTTAGCAGTAAACAAGTCACAGAAGTAGTAAAGAACACAGTAAATTGTTAACCCAGTTCATGGAAACATCACCTACGTCTGGGGTCTACCAAGTTAGGAAGGAAATCCGCTATTAGCAGAATTAATTCAGAGCTAAACTCCAAGTTTACAACTCCTCGCTTAATCTCTACCCAATGCAATTTCTGCCTAGAACCCACTAGACAAGAGACACCTCTCACTCCCCACAATCACAGTAGTGATAAGCAATTCAATACAAAAGTAAGAATTTCAAAGACACTCTTCAAAGACACAATACTTGATTTTTCTTAACAGCTTCAATCAAGAACAATACACTCTTGCTTAAAAGCTTTGAGTGAACAATTAACATTGTACAAATAATAGCCTAAAAATGTCTACCACGATGCATCCAAAGATACAAAGGGTGACTTACAAAGTGACACACAAGAGACTCTCAAAATCCTAAAATACAAAAACACACGTGAAGATTAAGTTACACCAACAGAACTCTTCACGACACAATCTCTCAGTCTCTGTCTAAAAACCCCAACGAATTAGGATTGCTACTTCTGTATATATAAGCAGCATACAATCATTGGGCCTAGGTGTAGAAATTAGGTTTACCCACGATAAACCTCTCTTCATGAAGCTGCGCACATCCAATTAGGTCAGGGGCATTCCATGTTATCCTCAGCAATGCCTGATATGTCGCCTGAGATAACTAGGCTTCCTAAAGTGTTTCCTGAAGTATAGCCTGAGCTAATACTAGAAAACTTAAACACGCGCCCTGATGTCATACGCTTGATGTTATAACATCCAGCATGACATCCAATATACTTTGCTCTTAGCTATCCAAACTTACCTTGCAGTACACTCCTGCAGAATATTCTTCATAACAGTAGAAACAAATATATTATAGTTTCCTAAAAAGTCTCAAAGATCCTTTTTATGAACACCAATTAAATCTGCACTTTGTTCCTAATAAATCTCTTTGACCTGCACATACTGATGAGGTATATCCACCAGGATCTCATCAAACCAAAACACCTCTGTCACAAGATATATAATAGAAGCTCTGTCATGACAGCAGATGAATGTCACAACATCGGTCTTGACATCTTGATTAAAACACATGACAGTAGTTTTGTTACCACAACAGATGGATGTCACGACATTCAGCATGACACTCAGATTAAAACACATGACAACAGTTCTGTCACCACAGCAGATGGAGATGTTATAAAATCCTGCTTAACATTAGTGCAGAATCATATTTTACCAAAATTTAGTAAATCATAGAACCATGGACAATCATAGAAACATGGAACTAACAATCTCCCCCTTTGGAAAATTTTGGCTAAAACAACCAAACAAACTTATCAGGTCAGCAGCAGTAGTTTTCTCAAAAAACATCCAGCTTCACAAACTATCATGCTCCCCCTTAATAGTTGCATTCAGCAAGCAACTACAAAATACTACTCTTTCCTTAGCAGTAGCAACAGATAACAGCACTTTATTCCCTTTTGGTTTAGTCAAAAATTGACAAAAATTGGAGTAAATGTACATCAACACATCTCACAAACTGAACGTGGTGTTCA